CATTAAACACACACATATATCTATATATATATATACAGGTAGGTGATTGCCCCACGAGGGTGTGGAGCCTATAGAGTCTAATGAACGGAGCTCGTAAGCATGCCGAAGCTGTGGGGAAGGTTGGATGGTTTTTAGAGATTGGTGCGTGTGAATGTGAGGCTGGTGGATTCACACTTGATCGTTTGATGTGGGAGAAACTGTTGGATAGACTCGAGGATGCGAGTGCGCGTTTTAGCGTGAACTCTCTTCGTGCCGATGGACTATCTGCCCATGCCCAAATAATGGCACTAAACCATTATAACAAGGTCTACACGACGGCGTCTAGTTTGGTTCCGCTTTCTTTAGATCAGTGGGAGCGATGGAAGCGCGGACTTTCTACGTTGTGCTTGGGACCTGTCTTTCCCTCTCCCACTCCATCTTGTGGAGCGGATAGGCTGAGCACCTCGACTTCCCCGGTGTCTGAGACGCGCCAGGCACTTTTGGGTGCGCGGGATGAAGCGTTTGCTGTAAACTATTGGGGTACAACCTGGAGTACAGAGGTGCGACTGAATAAAATCGAAAAGGCGTGCAGGGACGTCTCGACTATCAGCCTGATTGAAGACGAGGAGCTTAACCGGGATGCTAAGATTGCGATACAGGATAATTTGAAGGGAGCCGAATTGCGACACGAGGACATGCTTGCAAGACTAACACGGTTGAATTTTAGCATTCTACAGAGGTTTAGCCTCCTTCGCTTTCAGTCGGAGCACCTTTATTTCATGTATGCCGTCATCGGTATGGTAGAGCGCCGCTGGCTACTGGACAAGCTTTTGGGGAATTGTGGGGAAAAGGATAAGGAGTATGAAGAGGCTGTGGAATCGATGGTCCGACAGAGCTTTAAGCGTGACTTCAGGATTCCCTCGAGTGACCTTGCGAGCGGTGCCCTATTGAAACAGTATTGCGACTTCGAGGTGGAGAATAAGAAGGAGCGGGAGCTCGTGGCAATACTGCACGACACACAGAAAGGCATGGAGTATCGGGTCGCAGCAGAGTTTGCACAACACGAGGCGGCGGCGGTGCTCACGCCGCGGCATGGAAAGGGTGGTGGTGTGGAGGAGGAACACCCTCTCGTGCCGCGGTCCGTTTTGGATGCCGATGGAAGCGCTATAGCGGATGAGTGTGTGGCTGCTTTCCGGAAGAGCAGCAGCAGCAGTTTTGAGGCATGCCAGCGCCGAGCCTTCGGCTTGACGTTGCGACGTTTGATGGAGTTAGAGGAGTTTCCGGGTGTTTTAAATGCGTCGCGGCTGGAGTTCTGCCTGCACCTGCTCCAGCGGTGGCTTCTGGAGTACTGTGGACGTCAGCACCGATGGACCGCATGCGATCCTTTTGTGTGCCCCGAAGACTCTGATCTCTGGGGATTCTTACTAGAACGGCACGAGGTACTGCTGAGATGGGCCTTGAGCTCCCCTGCTTTGCCGTCTCGTGGCGGAGCAGCGGCGGTTTTGCCTCCTTCCACAGCGCCTTTTGTAGCCCGCTTGGAGGTGCTTCGTGCAGTGGTGTGGTCAGTGGTACATGCCTGGCAGTCCTACTTGAAGGTGGTTCGCGACACCCCTGCCGCGGCGCCGAAGCGGTGCGCTCGCGAGGGGGTCGCGAGGGGGTACCTGCGGAAGTGGTTCAGCGAACGGGTTATCGCTCTCTTTTGTCAAGCCTTTCTGAATGACCTGCATGCGGAATTCGGTGACGGTGACGACAGCGCCCCCAACTCGGATGTGGCATCTGAGGGGGAAGTGGTGAGGGAAGAGGCCAGGCCCGGACCCCTGCTGGAGAACACCGGGGCACTTTTGATACTGGAAAGCGAACTCAAGCTGATTATTTGCGATGTCCAGCAAAGCACATATGAATGTGTCTCATCGTTGTGGAATGAAACGCGGCGCCGCCTCGAACCACTTCTAGATGAGATTATTGACTTGCTTATGGCGAAGTCCTCCACGTTGTTAACCTTAGGCATGCTTCGAGGCATGATACACGCTGCTGTAAGGATTCTCCAACGCATGCAGGTGTGTCTCAACCAGCTCAGCCAACGATCCAGAGGTGGGTATACATCGCAGGATCGAGTGTGCATTCACAAGCTTCATGCACACTACAAGAGGTTGTCCAGGAGGGCGCCTCTCGCAGAGGACACACTATTGCTGAATGCTATTTTCGATGGGTGGACACAGCTAACAAGCCTCAGACTGGGACCGAGCAGCGAGAGAGGTGTAGATGTGCAGGGGCTACTCTTTATCTATGACACGGGGTTGAGTGCCGGTCGTGCTTCTACGACTCCAGGTGAGGGGTTTATGGATGTTTGTTGCGAACGACGACGCGCCATGAAGCGACTGGCCGTAGGTCTTGAGGAGGGAGCGTGTGGAGCTGCTTCTAGTCCCCATCCATCCCCACCCAGAGCTGGGATCGAGGACAATGACTGCATTGGGGGTCGGAAACGGCCTCGAAAGTAAATTACTAAGCAAAGAGGAACATACCTATTGGTTGGGAGCTGCTCCATCTAGGTAAGCCCCCCTGTTCTTAAAATTAGTATAATAATCTTCATCTGTATGAAACCACGTCAAGTGTCTAGTACCTTTAAGCAACATTGGCGCTTTTCTCCATCCCTCTTGGAGCTTTGATGATGTTTAAGGAAACAAGTTTTGAAGAGGGGAACATCGATGAACCGCATGCAGCCCCTGTGAGTAACACCGCGCCTTCGGTGTTACCCCATGTGGCAGGGCCTTGCCTGTACACACTGCGTTATCACAAGCCGGGCGAGGATGGATTTTGCTCGGTTGCGAACGGTGAGGGCGTGGGGGAGGGAGAAGGCATCCCCTGGGTTGATTCCAGGACCATTAACGGCGATTCTTGGGTAAGCAATGTGTGCCACTGTACGAGGTGCGAGTGCATGCGCGTCATGGTCGCGTTGAGTCGGCTCGAGGCGCCGGCGGGGCGACCGCCGGTGTTGGTGCTGCTTGACTTGGACAACTTTGGGTTTAACCAGTTCAAGTCTACCCCACCCGTGTTGAAGCGAAGTCATCGAGGGCGCCTGGGATGCACATCATCGATGCGCAGACCGCGGACTGACGCTGCGTGCGGCGAACGTGAAGGTGGCAGCAGCGATGATGGAGAGGACTGTTACTCCTCCGAGGTGGACATGTTCGAGAATATGTTTGTGTGGGCATTCTTTGGTTCATGCTTTGCGCGTTACCATGGGACGTGGCCAAGTGAAGAGGTGGTCACTCAACCCCCTGAACCGCGACAGGGGCGTGTGCGGTGTGCGAGGCTAAGGCAGCCATCCGCCCTTGCGGTAACATCGACCGCTATGTCAACGGTGACACTTGACCCATTGTTGGGTTCCGTGTCGCGTCCTACGGTTTGGCAGCGGTTGGTTGCGGCAGGTCGGGTTCACTTCACTGCGTGTGGTGGCCAGGGCCAAGGAGCAGATGGTGTCATCGTGAGCGTGATCAACACATTTATTCAGCGTGATATTGTTCTAATCACGTGTGATGCACAGCTAATCAGACGCATCATTCGTCCGCGCCAGGATGGTGATGGACACATCTCGACAGGGCGTCTGCATGCGATCAACGTTGGGGACGTTGGAAAGCGCCTTGTCCCTGTGTGGAGGGCGTTGTCGGATCGAATTCGCCAACTTGTGGTGCATGAGAAGGGGAAAAATAGAGCGCGGCGGGTATGATGTGCTCAGGGATATCCCAGCATAGGTGGAGAGGGAAGCTTAAGAATAGCGATTGTGGGGTGTTCCAAAGGCACCTTGAGGAAGCAGGAGCGTCGAATCTTTTAATTCTATCTCTCAGGGCAAGAACACTGTGATGCGAGTCGGTCGTGACAAAGCGCAAGCAAATACATACGTTTCCCTCCGCTCGACACCAGGACAGTCTCATTTTTCTTGTTGTGTGTGTGTGGGTGGGGTGGGGGCCTTCGAGCTTTTTTTTCAGACCAAAGAGAAAAGTATCGATCCTTCTGTAAGACATCTAGCACAGTTTTAGTGTCGTGTAGTCGCGCCCGAGGTATCTGTCCGTCTTTTCTGGTTCGTGTGGCGATTTCCTGTCGCTCAAAGGCTAGGGCAGTCGCGGGGCCACCCGGGTCCAACCTCAACGCTTCAATGTGGAGTGTGGCGCGGTAAACGGAATGCTGGGAAAGACGGCCACAGATGGCGCAAACTTCACGAATCCGATCCAAGCTAGGATCGTCGGGGATGCCTCCAAACCTTAAGAAGTGTTTGTGAGACTGTTGTGCGACACCCAAGTAGTGAGCTTGTCACCGGGCTGTGATGGTTTCTGCTTCGGCATATGCACGATGCCTAAGGAAAGGTTGCGCGCTTTTGATGCTCGCAAAGCGGTGGTGGCGCTGGCGAAGGCACACGGAGGTACAATAAACGGGGGACACACTCTATGCGCAACTCCCTGCCGCGCCCTCCGGGGCCTACTCTTTCCGTCGCTCAGCGTAGGCGGCATCACGAGACACCGCTTGTACCATTGGGCTCGTTGCTTATTCGGTGAGGATAAAGCCATCGGCATGAAAGCGCATGCCCGTACCTCCCAGGTTGAGCTCATGCCACGCGACTCCCTCTTGACCTCAAGATGGGCTTGGACATTCAGAGAAGAAACTGGCGTGCGCTGTGACGTGCAGCACGCTCGGCAGGGGCCGCACTACGAGGCAAACTCTTTTGTGAAAGGCGAAGCCGGCTCTGTCTCTGTCGTGGGAGGGGGAATCCTGCCTTTGGGCTTCCCCCCTGTTCCCCATGTGTGTGGAGTCCACGAGCATGGCGTGAGTCTCCGGTACTGAGTTGCTTGCTATTATGCGCATGTGTAGCTTGGTAGTTCCAAATGAATCTGTGGGGGAGCGTTGTTTGCCCCCCTTCACGCCGATGAGGCAGCGGCAGCTAGGGACACTTCGTGCGTTGTTGTATCAATAGCATTGAAGGTTGAGGAGGGTTGTTGTGGTGTCTTTTATATGGCCTCACAGTTCCCGAGCTAGTTTTTGCCGAGACACTCTCGCCTTTTTTGTGAGTGTGACTTGAGTAGGGGGCCACGGGTTACGGTCGCCTGAGCGTTCTACTGATATCCTCTGCAAATTTCTTGCAGATACTGTGAGCGTGGTGGAGGGAGGGTGAATGGAGGCGGATCACACTTATGTAAGAGATTTCGTAGTTGCGTGCACGTGTTGATAATATCATGGGCAAATATACCTGTGAACGTGCGTGTGTGTTCGCATTTTAATCCTTCATTACAGAACTGTTTTATTGGCTTACAGGAGGTGAGTGTGGGTTTTCTAATCGTTTTTGTCCTTTGTTTTACCGTTTTCGTTGGGAGAGGGTCTAGAGGGCGCGCGATGAAGGTCATTCGTAGCGGTGCGCATCTTGCTTTGCGGGAGGCTTTGTATTGGAAGAAGATCGATCGGAGGTGGCTTTGTGGATCTGCATTTCAAATAGGTTCGCAAGGGCCTGAGAAAGTGCAGGAGCCAGCGAAGGCTGCATCTCGAGGGGGTCTGCGTGTGCATGCCTCACCTGCCGCTACGTTTGTCCATTCTCCCGAACAACTGTTGGGGGTAGCGCGTCCGATTCGATCCATCACAACACCAACGCCTGTAGCAAAGGGAAAAGTGTCCGCAACGCGGCATCTGTCTTCATGTAGCGCCGCAGTCTCGTGCGTGTGTAGGTCATTGCGTCGTGCCCCGTCGCGGCGACCTTTTGCCCGTGAGAAAGGTCTGTCTACGGTGCCCGTCGGAGAAGTCGGGATGACTTTCACGGATGGAGGGGAGGACAGAGCGACACAGCCGCGAGTCCGCGATGCTTCCACTGCTGTGGGGGGCTTTTTACACACCCCTCCTACGCAGAGGATGGGGGGAAGTGCCAGTGGCCCATCTCTGACATCCCCAGGTACCTTCAACGATGGTGAAAGCGCGAGCTCGACCTGGGTATCGAGGGAGCAAGAGCAAACCCTTTCTTTGGCATTGGCTGGGGCTTCACTGTTCGTGGGAGGTAAGGCTGGAACCGGCAAGTCATTTCTTCTGCGAGAAATTGCTCGTGTGATGAGACTGAGGGGCATACGTGTTGCCGTCACAGCCTCGACGGGGATCGCTGCGCTAAATGTTGGCGGTAATACCTTTCACAGCGTCTTTGGAGTGCCAGTCTATCAGGACGACGGGGCAGACGGAAGCCGTTGCACTCGCTGCGCTCGAGCCCCAAAGGCTTATCGAGGACAGCTCACATACGATGTGAAGGTACTCTCACAGGTTGACGTAATTTTTATTGATGAGGTCTCCCTTTTGCATGGTGGGTACCTCGAGGCGCTTGAGCGGGCGGCACGAGGTGCTGAGGGTAAGAACCCTGACAAACCGTTCGGAGGGATTCAGATAATTCTTTTTGGAGATTTTATGCAGCTAACTTCTTTTTGGTCTCAGCAGGGAAGTCTTCCGTACCGGGCGAATGCTTTAGCAAGCATAGGGAAACACAAGGATCGCTTTGTGTGTGCTCGTGTTGCCAGGGATAATGACGTGGCTGTGCAGTATGCTGCTATCAAAGCCGCCTTGGAAAGGGTACACAAGGACTCGGATCGCAAAGCTGTCGGGCGGCGGTTTCGTGTGGGGCACTACAGTACGCTTCCCATGTATGAGAGCTACGCGTTTCGTAATTTCCTCCTGCACGTTCAGCTGGGTGAATCTGCGCGGCATCGTGTAGACGTAGACTTTCTCCGTGACCTCAACCTCCTGCGTGTGGGCATCCTGACGTACAGGCTGTCACGCTCCTTTATTTTAAACCCTGAGGATGACGGTGCCATTCGCCTATTCGCCACCAGAAGATCCGTCAAGGCGTACAACAGAAAACAGATGCTTGACTTGAGCGGGCGAGAAGTAGTCTTTAAAAGTCATCTGAGGTTATCATGTGTGAGTGAGGGCAGCCCGGCGGATCGATCCCACGGCGCTGAGGGTCCGCGTTGCAACCGCACTAGCCGGGGGTTCTGGTCAGACGTTGCTCTCCTTCACTTTGCCCCTCGTGGAGTTTTTCCCAGACGTGCCGTGCATAGCTGCTGGAATTTCGGCGCGAGACGCTGGGCCCTCGACAGGGTGTGTGCGATAAGCGACTCTGAAGCCCAGTCTATCGTACATGAGGTCTGCCAAGCAAGTTCACTTTCTGCGGACCGCTTCTTTGCTTATGTGCTGCCGTTTGCCCCCCGTTATTCACCAGGCGTCCGCTCGATTGCTGTTCGCTCTTTTGGCGGCAGCAGAAGGCAAGCGACTACGCAGTTAAATGTTTTCTTGTCTAGCGCGAGCGATCGGATCCAGCGGGGCGCCCCCCTGAGGGATCTCGCCGGGGTTAGTGCCGGTAATGTGGGCTCCATGTTTGGTAGTGTGCCGCGATGGGTGTTGGTTCGGTTCGAACCTTGTTCCACACATAAGCTTGCTTCCTGTCTGCAGCACCGATTCCAACACCACTTCCGTGGTAACATCGAGGATGACTTAGTCACGCAGACCAAGAGGCTGAAAGTAGGCTGCCGTGTTATGCTTCTTCGTAACCTGAACGCTCGATACGTGAATGGGTCGTTGGGCACAATCGTTGATTTCGCTCCGCTCTCTACCTGCGGTCATTTACTACCCCTTGAGCTCAAAGTTCTGCTCGCTCCCAACTGCCTGTTCTTTGCTCCACCTGTTGGCCGAGGAAAGCGGGGCGATGGTGTCGCACTCCGAGGTGGTCTCGGTGATTCAGCGAAAAGAACGATGCTTGAGGGGGTTGCCGAAGCCGCGTCGATGGGAACCACCATGGTGCAGCGCATGCCCATACCAAGCAGTGCCACCGCATTCACAGGCCATGTCGAGCTGCCCCTCGTGCAGATGGACGTGGATGGCAGTGTGGTCGCCATTCCCTGGATCACTTTGCCTTTTCCTGGAGCCCCGTCGGGAGTTTTTTTTTCGGTTCGTGTTATGTGCATGCCGCTGACCCCGGCCTATGCATTTACCGTGCATAAAATTCAGGGTATAACCTTTGATCGCCCCGTGCTGTTCGATGCTGCCGGCATGTTTCCATGCGATCATCTTGTCTACGTGGCGGCCAGCCGTGTGAGGCGCTTTTCGCAATTTCGATCGGTCAATGTGTCGCCGCGAATGGTAACGGTGCACATACCCTCCCTTCGCTTCTCAGAGCACCTCCCTGACATCAGCACGACAACAGCGAGGTGGGGTGCGTGGGTGAGATCACGTGGTCTTTCCATGAATGATGACACGATGGGAAGCGGGTTATTTTTGCCGAATTGGAAAGATCCGCCGCAGTATTTATGTTGACGTTTTAAAATTTTATTTCTGCTTTGATCATCTGTACACATTCCTATATCGCTCTGCTTACAAAAGAAGTCTTGCTACACGTTCAGGTGTGTTTGCTGGATGTTTTCCTCAACACTCCACAGTGCGAAAGTATGCTTGCTATCCCGACCTTCAGCATCCCCCTTTGTTAAGAGGGCAGTTGGGCGCGGGTGTGAAATAGATGCAGACCTAATGCCGCTGTTAGGCGTACCCCACCCATCTCTTGGCTGCAAATCGGTCGGATTCAAGCCTGCGTGCATTCCAAAATTTTCCATTTTTGCTGTTTGTCGTGAGTTCCTTTCGGATTGATCGCTTCATTTCTTACTACGGGGTGTG